TCCCCCCTTTGGCCAATACACCCCTCCCCCCCCACCGCCCTGCCAAAGTTGTAAAGTTCATTTTTCAACATAATGTCTTGTACATCTCATTGTTGCAATAGGTCCACCTGTATTCCTATTTAAACAATTTGTTTTTTTTTTCCCTTTCCCCTCCACAAATTATACCAGCATCAAATACAGTGAAACCAGAGGTTATACCATTGGGGAGGGACATACAAAGCATCAAAGAAATCATCTTATGTTAGAAATAACTGCAAGAAAGAAAAAAAAACATGCATCTCAACCAGGGCAAGCAAAAGGAAATGTGCTTCTGGGGTCACGTGAGCCCTGTCAGGTTCACTGGTTTCCAGCTAGCTATGGTTATGGAAGCACCATGCCTCACTCTTCCCTAAATGTCGTATTTTACTGGACACATGTGCTCTTCATGGAGATCTCAATACTGTAAAATGAGGAGTTCCATAGATGATTTCAAATTTCAAAATGCAACAATGGGAGGAGAGGAGGGAAGATGTGACACTGTTCAAAAGTAAATGTACTATTTACCTGACTCATGTAACTATAAGTCCTCCATATGTCACCTTTCCAATACAATGTAAAAGAGGCAGGTAAAAAAATCGTGTTGTTTTAATGTTTTTCCTAAGCAGCCAGGGCAAAAATTTAGCAAATCTCACACTTGTAAGCCTGTAACTGTGATTATATGGAAAGCATAGTAGTATTCTGTGAGCACCCTCAGAACAAAGCGTGAGATTCTCCCTCAAAAATGTGCTAGAGTCAAAGTGCTGAAATGTTTTCATTTACCAAGATTGTATGAATTCCTGAATACAAACTTCAGTCCCAACAAATAAAGACAATAGCATCAAAATTGGTACTGATGATGGTCAATATGCTTTAAGTAGTTGTATGTGTGCTCACACATTTTGCATCATAGATAATCTTTTTGGAGAATTACGTGTTATTTAATAAATCAGAATGCTGTTTGTAACTAAAGTTTATAGAAAAAAATTGAGAACAGAAATGTGATGGTGTCCAATGACGCTAATCAGTATCAGCTGATTTTGAACTGTTACAAGTTCCTCTGAAACCACTCACTGTGCACAGAGTACTTTCTGACACTGTCCAGTCAGACAATGATTGCCCAAATTCTGATTATCACTTGCAGGCTGGTAGTCCAATTACACCTTTAATCACACTGCCTCCATCTTTATCCTTAATCACTCTCCTCCATGCTCTTTCTGCAACTCAGGATCATATCCCAGATAGGCTTCTCTGAGACCATGAATGGAGGATTTATTGTCAGATAGTCTTGTAGGACCCAGGGATTCCTGTTTTTCATAATGCAGGATTCTGTTCCAGGTTCTTAAATTGTACTTGGAAAAAGAAAAAAGATAACACGAATGTTGTTTTTGGGAGGTCCGGTCGTGGGGCCTGAACTCTGGGCCTGGCCTTTGTCCCTTAGCTCTTCAGCTCAAGGCTAGCACTCTACCACTTGAGCCACAGCGCCACTTCCTGCTTTTTTCTTTTTGCTTATGTGGTGCTGAGGAACCGAATCCAGGGCCTCAGGCATGCAAGGCAAGCACTCTACCACTGAGCTACCTTCCCAGCCCACGAATATTGTTATTTTGTGTGTAGTGTCAGTCCTGGGGCTTGAACTCAGGGCTTGGGCACTGTCCCTAAGATTTTTGTTCTTAGTTAACATGCTACCATTTGATCCACAGCTCCACTTTCAGCTTTTTTTGGTGCTTAATTGAATATAAGAGTCTTACAGCCTGTCTTGCCTAAACGATCTTTAAATTGTGATCCTCAGATCTCAGACTAAGTAGCTAGGATTACAGATGTGAGCTACCCATGCCAGGCTAATTACTATTTTTAATGCCTATAAGAATGAGACAAGGCCACCTTGTTAAAGGTGTTAGAACATCTTCAGTCTGTACTCAACAAGTGCTGTTTGAGTTTTTAAAGGGAAACTATTTCAAGAAGAAATGTTAAAAGTACAACACAAAGTAGATTTTCCCTGAACCATCTGAAGCAAATTGAAGAAGAAACATACTCTCTTGTGTATTTCTATTTATTTGCAACAAATAAGAAATCAGCATTCGTACCCCAGGGAGACAACCTTAATATACAAGTCTAATTCTTTCTTAGGCTCATGTCAAACATTGACAATTATCCCCCATTGTCTTTTGTCACATAATAGTTCAGTCTAGGTCAGATTTTCCTAGATCTGCCTTTCCTCCTCTTCCCTGGAAATCTTCCAAAGTCTCTGCAGTCCCTTGATCTTATCGGTCTTGAGGATCACAACCCCTTATATTCCTGAATGTCCTTTGGTGTGGACTTCTGCACTTTCCATCAAAGTTAGACTCAAGAATCCATGCTTAGAGGAATGTACAGCAGTACTTCTGAGTTCTTCCCAGGATATCTACTTGAAAGTCACTGTTTTCACTCAGTTCCATTACTGATGATCTTCACTTCAATTCTATTCTAAGGTAATGGTTGTTTGATTTAATTAGCTGCATTATTTTTTCTTGGAAATTAAATGTGCTCTGTGGAAAGAACTTGATGGCTTATAACCATCACATTCCTTGTTGAAATATACTTATGGATCCAAGTTTCTACAGCGAAATGTAAAATTATCTTTGTTACTTGATAGGGAAAACACCACAAAGTTGGTCAATGGGCATAAAATACAGTTGGCTTCTCATCACATTTGACAATTTCCTCATTTTTCATTATTAAAATATTTTTATGGAATATATTTTAATTGTGAAAATACCGTAAGGAGGAGTTACAATTACTTGGGCAAGGTAATGAGTATATTTCTTATTAAGCATTGTTGCCTCCTCCTTTGTTTCCCCTTCCCATCCCTTCCCATCTTCCCCCGACATCCCCCTCTTCCCTCCCACCCCACCTGGCCATAGTTGTAAAGATAGTTTTTTGACATAACGTCTTGTACATTTCATTGTTGCAATGGGTCCAACTCTATCCTTATTTAAATGATTTGATTTTTCCCTTCCCCTCCACAAATTATACCAACCTCAAACACAGCGAAAGCAGGTGTTACACCGTGGGGGAGGGACATACAAAGCAACAAAAAAATCATCTTATAAATATGTTAGAAACAGTCAAAAGAAAGAAAAAAAACATTTGAATCCTGATCTTGGGGTTCATTTCACCTAACATCAAATTATCTGATCGTTTCTGCTTGTCTCAGACATATACTAGTTATTGCAATTTTATTTATTTATTTTTGCCATCCTGGGACTTGAATTCAGGGGCTAGGCACTGTGCCTGAGGTTCTTTTGCTCAAGACTAGCACTCTACTATGTGAGTCACAGCACCACTTCCAGCTTTTTCTGTTTATCTGTTACTGAGAAATCAAACCTGGGGCTTCATGCATGCTAAGTGAACACAATCACTAAGCCACATTCCCAGGCCTCATTAGAATTTGTATCATAAAAAGGATGTTGAACTTTGTCAAAAGCTTTTCTGGATAAGTTAAAGTAATCATGCTATTTTTTAAACCTTGATTCTGTTTAAGTCCTGCATTATGTTTGATTTCTATATGGTGAGAATTTCTTTTTTTCAGCATAGAAACCAATATGCTTGATCATGTTTTATGATCTTTTAATGTGAAGTTGAATTTGATTTGCAAATATTTTATTGAGACTTATTGTGCCTAAGTTCATCAAACAGATTGGTCTATAATTCTTTTTTGTTGGTGGAATTCTCTTTTGGGAATGAATGTAATACTTGTTCCATAAAATCAGTTGAGTAACATCCCTTCCATTGCTATTTATCTAAAACCTATGAGGGTTACAGGTGTTAGTTATTTTATAGTAATAAAATTTCACAATAAAAAAAATAAAGTGACCAAACTTAAACTTTTCAATAAATATCTAGAAACTAAATAAGAATGACTCACTACTTAATGAAAAGGCATCTTTATTTAAGAAAATTGTAAAACATGCCTGGAAAAGGTTGAAGAATTAGGGCGCAGGCAAAGAGGACGAATCATGAAGGCATGTCCCTCTCTAGGGAACACATATACGATCTCTCTTGTCTTTCTTTTTATTATTTATTTAATTTAATTGTGAAAATACTGCACAGAGGGGTTACAATTACATGGGCAAGATAATGAGTACATTTCTTATCAGGCATTGTAGCCTCCTCTTTGATTCCCCTTACCATCCCTTCCCATCCTCCCACTGCCCTTCCACCCAATCCTCCTACCACCTTTTGCCTTTCTTTTTTAATATGTATTTTTATTGTGAAGGTACTGTACATAGGGGTTACAATTACATGAGCAAGGTAATGAGTCCATTTCCTCTTTTGTTTTCCCTTACCATTCCTTTTCTCTCCAACTCCTTCCTCTCTAACCCCCACCCCCAGCAAAGTTGTAAAATTTGTTTTCAACATAGTGTCATGTACATCTTATTGTTACAATGGTTATCCTGTATCCTTATTTCAGCATTTTTGTCATTTCCCTTCCCCTCCTCAAATTAGAAATAGGTATATACAAGATGCAGGACACCAGAATCAAATACAGTGAAAACAGGGGTTGTACAATGGAGGAAAAACATACAAAGAAAAACTCACAAAGTACATTATTAGTACATTAAAAAGAACAACAAGAAAGATAAAATTTCTTGTGCCCCTTTCTTGGGGTTCATTGGCTTAGTATCAGGTTATATGGTCATTTGTACATAGCTTTTGACCACTTCTGCTTGTCCTAGACATATACTAGTTATTGCAGATAAGGGAAACCATGGGACCTTTGTTTCTTTGAGACTGGCTTACTTCATTAATATAATTTTTTCCAAGTTTCTTGATCATAGTTAGTGATTCTAAGTAACAGGAGAGGCCCCACCCTCCTGGTGTTACTTTGGTTTTCTTCTGACAGTTTGTCTCTCACAACTGCACTTACCAGGATATTTGCATATTGCTCCCTGGGGAGGAGCTTCTCTGCAAGTCCACAATAAAAGCTCAGCTCTAAGCTTGCCTGGGCTGATAAGGACTGCTTACTCTCAGAATGAGTTGCCCTGCTCAACTCCTGGGGCTGCTCATGCTCTGGATCCCAGGTAAGAACACACCAGAGCTGAGGAAGGAAATGGGGAGGGGCTGAGCTCTGGTGCCCAATTCTTCCCATGTGTGATGTATCCACTCGTGAGAGGTGCACATTTTCCCTCCTGGATGGGTAGATGATATATGTATCTGTGAGGGTGAGGAAGATTCCAGAAGGACCAAAGAACCTTGTTCTGCTTAGGACTAGATAAGCAGAAAGTGCTGGTAAATTCTAGATGTCCTCATGGTTTACAACTATCAGTGTGTGTGTTGTGTGTGTGTGTGTGTTGTGTGTGCGGTGTTTAATGAAGATTTTGGATCATAAAACATTATTTAAATTTTATAGTCCAGTATTAGTTAGGAAAGAAACTTGCAATTAACCCTGTCCACTTCTCTCTTTAGGATCCGGTGGGGTTGCTCTATTGACCCAAACTCCACTCCCCCTGCCTGTCACCCTTGGAGATCAGGCCTCCATCTCCTGCAGGTCTAGTGAGAGCCTCCTGTACAGTAATGGAAAAACATATTTGTGTTGGTTCGTGCAGAAGCGAGGCCAGTCTCCACAGCAACTGATCTATTGTGTTTCCAACCGAGAAAGCGGAGTCCCAGACAAATCCAGTGGTAGTAGGTCAATCACAGATTTCACACTGACAATCAGCAGGGTGAAAAACCAGAATGGTAGACATTTTGATTCACATGGCCTCCAAAGAGTAACCTTGCAACCCCACCCCCATTCCAATAACAGTCTTCAGATTTGGGGAATCTTCCTTGGAAGGGGAGTACTTAAGTTGGGACAGATGGTCTCCTCTTCTTGACAGTTTCCATGTCAGGTCCCTGAAGAGGAACTTAGTGAATTTTGTTGACAGTATGTAAAGTTTCCCATCTATAGAAACTGCTACTAAAACTTAGAAAAAAAGCCAACTAAAAAGAAAGCAAATTGGGCTAGGAATCAACACTATAGTGCAGGTTGGAGTTAACTATTCACTGATCATTGGGCTTCACATTTTTACCTTCTCTTAGCTTCCGAAGTACTGTTCTCCATTACATTTTTGTGCCCAAATATAGGGGAAAGATAACTTTATTCTCACACTCAACTCTTTTGGAGATCTGTGGGTTTTTTTTTCTCAAAAATATGTAATTCAGTTCTCTGGTACATATTGATAAATCATCAGGTCCATCCACTTCAGGGCTGAACCTTACAAAATTTCCCCCCTTCAGAGGTCAATCATCATCCCTTCTTTGTTAGATCATTTTCTAGGATGGTTCACAGTCCTCAGAAGAAGTTTACTCCTAGATTATGGATTATAAAAGGACATCACTCAGGAATTAGAATATTCCATGCTCTCTCCAGATGTGCCACTTTTCAGCCAGACAGGTGTTTAACCACTTATAAACTCACTGAAACTTGTGATTTTATTCTTACAGAAGCAAAACATGGCAGAAACATAGCCTTGATTCACAGGAGCATAGGCAAAACATAATCTTGACTTGGTCAGCATGATCAATACTATCAAAGCTATTGACATTATTTTAGAAATTATTTTTATTATAAGCTCCTAACACAGCATTTTAATGCAGCTGGTGATAAGCCTCAGCTGTCAATAGCTTTTTGCAAAGCTGCCAGTTTGGTAAACTTGAGTGAGGGAGCGATGTTCTTTTGCTTTTTATCAAGGATGAGGAAAGGACAAAAGCTGAGGACTGGTCAGCCTTTGTCTGGGGTTTTTCTTTACCAGGAGGTTTTTGCCCTTTATCAATAATTTTGTTTTGTTTTTTGATTTCACATGTTTGTACCCATGGTTATTCTTTTCCCAGGGAAAAGGGGAGAAAGTACATTTCTAACTGCAGGAGGAACTGAGACCAGAAAACAGGAAGAAATTTCTGCCAGTGAATAGTAACTCGGATATTACAGAAAACCAAAGATCTGGAGTTTTAATGCATTAAGCTGTTCATCGTCATCAAATTATCTGACTTATCAAAAAAGTAAAGGATTATTGCATTATTTTGAAGAGGAATTTTAATTTTCCAGTTTTTGCTAACACCAAAACTTGATGACTTTTCTTGGGAGTTTAAAACAACTCATGTGTTTACATGATGATGACAGGCAGAAACTTACTGGTAGAACAAACTCCAGAGTCCATTTCAGGGGTTCCACAGAGCAAGGGCACCTGGGGCTGAGGAATGTCTCTCAGAGGCCTTCCACTAGGTGTGCCCATGTGACCTGTCCCCTGACACAGGAGTCAGGTCGTGACTGGGGTCGTCCTGTTCAGGCAAGAATAGGATCTCACTGGGGCCTCCAGATGAAGTGGACTGACCCCTGGACAAAATCACAGACATTTACCAGTATCTTATAAGATAGTTTATTCAATTGACCAGCCAGGGCTAACTCTGTAGACTTTTCTTCCAAATAAATCTGTGCTAGTGTTTAAGCTACCTCTTTGCCTATCTTCTGTGGCTTTTAGGGGCCTAATAGCTATGTATCTTCTTTTGCTTGTTCTCATTCCTCCAGTGTTAAGATACTGACTGAATACTTGAATCTTATGGCACAAATGCAGTACAAAGAGCAGTGTTACTCAAAAAGTAATCCCCAAACCCAAACATGTGTTAATATAGAACCTATTAGAAACTCAAAAATTCTCAGCAGCCCCAGCCTCATTGAATCTGAAGCTACATTTCAAACTCCCAAATAATTTATATGCACATTACTGTTCAAAAAGTAATGCTATAGGCTGGATCTTAAGTGTCCACCTAATGCCTGTGTTTTAAAGACTCAGCCCTTAGCTTCCTGGAGATGGTGCACATGAGAATGTAAGACCTAGTGGGATGTCTTCTGGTTATTTAGGGTGTGTCATGGGAGGTCTTCTGGTTATGTAGGGTATGTCCTTGAAGTGAAAAATCGGACCCCAGATTTTTCTTGACCATGAAGTGAATAGTTTCCTACACCATACACCCATCATGTCATCCCCATCCTCCACATAGGAGGCCTTAACACAGTAGGTCTGCCCAATTATAGATTGGAACCACAAAATTTTTGAGCCAAAATAAGCCTTTCTAAGGTGACTATCAAGTATTTGTAATAGCAACACAAAATTAACTCCAGCCTAATTGTAAAGAAGTCCCCAAAATGTTTTCAAAATCTTGTATTCATGACATCATTGCTAAAGACAGATTACTTCCTGGTGTGTATGTATAACTTACATACTTGTTTCTCACCATGCCTCAATGGACCACCGTGAGCACATACCTACTTTGCAGATTGCTGACTAGCACACTGAGTGAACATAGCATTTCACTACTTGCTCTGCCACTGCTCAGCTTTATTCCAGGAAAGACTGCAGAGCAAAAAGCAGATTGCAGAGGAAGAAGCAGATAAAATGATAACCAGAACCAAAGCTCCAATAAAATGAAAACTACCCCTGCTCACTAACAGGCAGGCTCACCACCAATGGGTGCCTACATTTTCAGAATAAGTAATGGGAGATGCTTATGATTCAATGGTTAAACAGAAAATAATAATAAACACTTCAGATTTGAAAGAAGCCCCCTCATGGAAAAGAATGAAAGCAGAAAAGTTTGAAGACAGGCATATCCGAGTTAACATAATGCTTCTTCCCTTCTAAGACTTTTAAATCTTGTTAGCACAGTCTTTAGTCTATTTTCTGTAAGTATTTTTGCTTACAATAACTTATGTCAAAGATATACAAGGCAAACAACCCAGAGACTGGAGCAATAACCGGCCAGATGGGGAACAGGAAAGGTGAAAGTAATGGAGATGAAGATGACTGAAGTATGTTCCATAAAGGTGCCCATAAAAAGGGGAAGAGTGATCAAATTCTGTTAAAAGTACACCTTGTATACATAAAAGTAACAGTAAAATCCCTTTGTATAATTAATACACAGTTTTAAATTGTGCTTTTCCAAAGTTATCCCAAATAAGTTTAAGCTCATCAGAGCAGTTGTTGGAAATATCTTGATGTTTCCTCCTATGTGACACCTGATATCCCAACTCAAAAGGAACCCAGCAAGGCATAATTTACCTCTGCAGAAGAATCTGATACTGACAGGAAGCCAAGCAAGCATGCTGAGCAGGCAGTCCACCATGTCTCTCACTCATCAGAACTTTGGGATCATAATCTTTCTTGCTTAGATAAACTTTCAAACTAGATAAAACCAGGATATCTGGTCAAAGTTTTTCAGAAAAGCAGTCTTAGTTTCTTGTAAGATAGCAGCTATCCTTTAAAAGGCAGTGCTTATGTCAAGCACTTTGGTAGAAAAGATTCTAACTCCTAAAGTCCTGCCTTGTTTTATCTTTTTTCAAACATAATCAGCTTTAACATACTTTCCCATTCAGCAGTATCCAAAGGGAGAATATTTAAGAAATGGGTGTTTGTTTTGCCCTCATTCTTACAGCCACCAACAGAGGCATTGCTATGAAAACAAGTGCTATAGGCAAATTTGGACACTATTCATTTGTCTTCCAAATTATTGATCAACAAGCTAGTAAATGGTTCACCATTTGCCAGCCTTCAATCTATGTAAGGCCTTTGTGCAGCACTGGTTTCTAATCACCACAGAGATAATTCCCTTTCCAGCCTATATACCTAGAGCTAGTCTTTCAATGTCATTCTACTAGTGGCACTTAGTTGTTCTGTTATTACCTTGATAGTGTCTAGTATAATTACCAGGGCTCTGCTGATAATAAATCTAATCTAATAAACTAATGGATCTAACCCAATCTACATTTTATAGTTATTACCAGTTTAAAGCTAGAAAACAAATAGCAGGTTTTGATTAGGAACTCTTTGGGAGACCCCAATAGCATCTACACAAATATGACAGTTGGAAGACTCTCTGGGGATGAATCTCACTCCTTACTTGATGTTAGCATTTTCTCAACCTGGCCATTCTCAAATAGCTTGAGTAAAATGGATTTATGTTGAACCAAAGTGCAGTTTCCAACCCAGTTGGCCAGTAAGGTCTCCAATACTGGTCCTCTGCAATACCAGACACCTTTCTAGGACTTAAATAAAGTTGCTTTTGGATTGTATTTTTTCCTTTGATGATCCAACTTTGCTCATTAGTAGTTGGCAGATTTGAGCTGACTGATTAAGTAGTGGGCCTGGCTCAACTGAGGTCATGTGGTTCCCACCTCTTCAATTACCCTGGAAGATCCAGGGTATAAACAGAGTTTATCTTTATAATAGTAAATGTACTCATTATCTTGCTCATGTAACTGTAACCCCTCTGCACATCATTTTTGCAATTAAAAAACATACAGAAAAAAAGAAGGTTATGACATATCCAGGCTGACCTTGTTCTGGCATTCTAAGTTCTGACATTCATGCTTGATAAGGTCTGACAACAGCCCTCCCATTAAAAATTTTGTTAGTTTTACACAATTGTTAAATGTTAAATCATCCCTCACCCCACCCCATTTTCCTCACCCAAGGCTGTTTGAAACTTTTTTTGGTCGGTAATGGGGCCTGAATTCTGGGCCTGGGCACTGCCCCTCAGCTCTTCAGCTCAAGGCTAGTGCTCTACCATTTGAGCTACAGCGCCACTTCTGGCCCTTTCTGTGTATGTGGCACTGAGGAATCGAACCCAGGGCCTCATGCATACAAGGCAAGCACACTACCACTGAGCTGCCTTGCAATGCTTGATAGGAAATGTCCTCATTACCTTGCTCGTGTAACTGTAACTCCTCTGTACATTATTTTTACAATTAAAAATGTATTTTAAAAAAGATGAAAATTGAGAGCTTCATAAAGTAGAAGTACACCAAAACTCTAGGTATATATTTTTCTTCATATGAGTATTTAGAATTGTATGAAGCT